AAAAAAAAAAAAAAAAAAAACCCTTTTTGTTTGCGATTTTACCTGGCATGTATGATCAAGAATTGTATGTGATGATCTGTATGTGTTTTCAAATGTGATTTGTGTTTCTTGCTCGAATCTAATTTAGTTGGTTGCTATTATTATTATTATTATTTTAATTTATTTTATGTTCTGTAGTAGTTTGCTGATGAGATTAATCTGAACTTGGAGATTAGTATGAGTGATGTCTATGGAAATAATGCTAGTGCAAGCTCGAGCTCGAGCTTGAATAGCAGCTTACAAGATACCGATGATGATCACACGATTGCTGCACTGTTAGCCGAGGACGAGAGATTGAGAGTTGGTGGCCGGCTTGGCAAGAGGCTTTCTCATTTGGACTCGATCCCGGTAAATTTTCGATGGTTTGTTTCGATAATCCAGTCGTCGTTTTCTATTCTTATTTTATGGTCAGAGAGAGTTATAATATTGACTGGTTCATTTGGTGATAGTGGTGATGACAATTGCCTCATTTTTGTATATTTCTTTTGGGATAATTGTGTTTTGTATGCCAAGCTATGACAAGTTCTGCATTTTTATTGGTTCAAAGCTCTTACTCGGTTCTCAGTTCGTTTCATTGGAAAAGATTAGCACTTTTTAATGGGAGTTGGGAAATATTTAGTTTGATTTGATCCCATGGGATAAAGACAATGAATCAGCTGATTAAGACTTTAGGATATGCTCTTTAAAAGTTTGAAACTTGCAGTTAGCTTCTTTTTTTTGTGTGTATGATTGATGATATGAGCTTAATGGGTTTGTCTCATTTTATTTGGTAGCACACTCCTCGGGTTATTGGGAGCATACCAGATGCAAATGACGCGACATTAGACCATGAGAGGCTAGCTCAGAGGTTTTTATTTCATTTCGACCATTTATATGATTATTGTTTTATTCCTTGGTACCTCGGTTTTATGCGTTCTGCCAAAAGAATTAAATTTGTGTTATTGTGTACTATAGTAAATGGAAATAATAAGTACTCTAATATCTTCTAAGATTTCTTTTGCTTCTCAGTGTTTACTGAAGATGTATCTTTGAAATTGAGTATTGTTTGTAAATGATTCACTTGGTGTGGTCCAGTAATTAACTGTTAGTTTCAACCCAATTCTTTAACTACCAAAAACGACCAATCTATCTATGTGAAAAAAGGTCTAACTTTATTTTCTTTTGAGTGGAATCTTTGCAACTTAGTCATGTGGGGTTATTTATTCTAAAATGCCTGTGATGTTGGGGATTTGACTCCATCTCCTGTCTGATGCATTTGGGGAATACTTTTGTATGTTCGTTCAAATTTCAATTTCAGCTTCATAATTTTATTTATTTATTTATCTTTTTGGTGATTGGTTTTTTTTTTTTCCTTTTTACATTGGATTGTTATGTCTTGAGGAGTGGTCATTAGTTTCTATTAAGATTAATTCTTACCATGTATTGGAACGTATAAACTATATTGATGATTATGTAAGTCGTGGTTATTTGCGGAGAGGCATTTTTTTTTCTTGATTTTTCAACCATTGAGACATTCCGAAAGATTAAAAAGGGACGATTGTTAGGGTAATATACCAAATTCAAAAACATCATATTTTAGATGAAGTGATTTATTGTAGTTTAAACCAAAAGGCACTACGAATCGAGAATTCGCTGTATTGCAATTAAAAGCTAAAAATCAGATTAGTTAAGAAAAGCGGTGAATAAGTTATGAAAGTGCTTATTTTTTTTTGGATAAGTCGAACAAGAAGCAGAACTAAGATCAGAAATCTAAATCACCCCTTTCCTTCAAATTTTATCAGGCTGGCTACATATGGCTTGGCTGAAATGCAAATTGAGGGAGATGGTAACTGCCAGGTTTGTTTTTATTTATTTATTCCTATTTTATTATGATGGGTTTTTCAGATATATTTAAAAAAAAAAAAAAATTCTTGAACAGTTTTTTCGTGTTCTAATTTTATTTGTATCAATTTATTAGCTATCTGTAATCGGTTGCAACTTTTACAGTTTCGAGCCCTTTCAGACCAGTTATTTCAGAAGCAAGATTACCACAAATATGTTAGAAAAGAGGTCATCAAACAGGTAGGATTAATGGATTAAACCCAATTATCTTTCGTTCTTCAATTTCACATATCTCAGCCCAAAGCATGCAGCTTGATTAACATTATAACTACTTTGCATATCTATTTTTTTTTTTTGGAAAATTACTATTTTTTCCTTCTTATTTCAGTCTCTTATTTTCAGCTAAAACGCCATAGTACGAAAGCTATGTCCCCATGAAGTACAGACACTACGTGAGGAAGATGAAAAAGTTTGTGTTGTCAATTTATGCTAGCCTTTTTTTATTATTATTATTATTATTATTATTATTATTATTATTATTATTTTTTTTTTGTATTGTT